TACAATTGATAAATTTACTTTTTACCATTGAACATCCAGGTTTTAAAGAAATATTTCATTTAAACTTTGGATTTTATGATACCTGCATCCAACTGAGAAAGTACGTGTTAAATATATTGATTTTCCAAGCGTAGCTTAGATGTGGCACATCGCCGAAAGTAGGGGGCACCCAGTGAGGATCGAACTCACTACCCAGTCGTAATTGTTCTAGCGAGACAAGCTTACTAACCATTACACCGCCTCGATGTGCTCAATACGTGTTAAATATAATCTACTTTTATGTGCCGTGTCCATTTAGGACGTAGGCGATCATGGCCCTCCACCTTCGACTGTTCCTTGTAGCTCTTAATAAGTTTTGTCTTTTTGTTATTTCTCCCAGACTCTGTTCCGCCATCCACTTGCTCAAGCCAATTAAGTATGTTACACGTTGTTTCTTCCCCTCCCTCTTTCCCTCTATCTGTCCTGTGAGTGTTAGATTTTCCAAGCCCTCATTCCTCATAACGTATCCCAGAAATTTCAGCTTCCTCTTCCTGATGTTAAGTATAAGATTCCTCTTTGTTTCCATTCTCTTCAAAACCTGACCGGGTGCTCACATGTTCGGGTCATGGTATCCTTAGCGTCCTTCTGTAGAACCACATTTCTGTTGCTTCGAGTCTTTTCTTCATCTTTGAGGAGATTGCCCTAAACGAGGATAGATATCACTTAACCTACTCACCTCCTGTTTTACATTTTCTAACTAGCCACAGTTATTTAAAGTTTTAACGTTCCATGTACCGAGAGTTATTTTTTGTTTGATGCGAGCACTGGATTACGGTCCGGTGACACCTGTCGCTCCTCTCCGGCCGAAGGATCAGTTCTGAGGAATTTTATACACTTTATGCCGTTTATGCGAGCCGTCGATGGATTACGTCCCGGTGACATCTGTCGCTCTTCACCGGGCGAGGGATCAGATCTGAGAAATTTTATACCCTTTATGCCGTAAATGCAAGCCATCGGTGGATGACGGTCCGGTGACACCTGTCGCTCCTTTCCTGAGCGAGGGATCAGTTCTGAGGAATTTTATCCCCTTTATGTCGTTTATGCGAGCCGTCGGTGGATGACGGTCAGGTGACACCTGTTACACATCCTGGCCTTTACCGGGTGAGGAATTAAACTCACACTCTCTCTCTCTGCATATATATATATATATATATATATATATATATATATATATATATATATATATATATATATATTGATGCATGTTTCATTAAATAATATAGACAAATGTTGTCTATTTTATGTAAATTCTTTTCATGGAAGATTTCCAAGCAACGACAAACTCGTGCATACGAGACGCTGGAAGCGAAAATCGCACCGCAGTTCATGACGTCACACATGACCACGCGAAAGTGAAAACGAGACGTATTAAGTATAGGAAGCGGTTGACTTCTGTCATAAATTATAGGCATTTAAGAATATTTGTGGAGATTTCTTAGTTTATTTTGTTCAGATTAGGTTTCAACTGTTTTATGTATAAAGCTTCAAGAATTTTTATTTTTTTTTATTGTTATCATGTTTAAGTATAGTTGTGTTTTCAACGAGGATTTTCCTGAATTGTGTATATATATATATATATATATATATATATATATATATTGCGTCTAGCATGAAACAGCCTGTCACCTCTGAGTGTTGACTTCAATGTCCACTATATATATATATATATATATATATATATATATAATGTTTAAGCAAAGGAGGGATGGTATAAAAAATTATAAATTCTGAAACATTAAATTAAAACGAACCTTAAATTCAACATTGATTGAATTTGCCCATTTCAAAATCAAGCCTACTCGTATAGTGGATGGTTGACCAAAGAACTATAATATTGTGTCTAACTGGTTAAATGCATATCCGCCCCCCCCCGTCTTTCATTTGTTAGTGCTTTTGCATTATTAACCATTTTAAGGAGGTTAAACGTTTTGTGGTATAAACAAAATTTTGATATCAGAAACAAATCTTTTATTAGTCATTTCTTGTATTCTCATGGGATGCCACCATTATGGTGTATCAAAAGAATTTTCTTTTTCAAAAGAATTCGTAAAAAGTATATATACTCAAAGAATACCTGGTGCTGTAAGCTTGGATATGCGGTTGGTGTAATGAATAATAGCTCGGAATTGTTAATCAGAGAGCCGAGTTCCAATTCCATTTGAGTTCGTTATACACACTTACGCACTAATACCCTTATTCCCCAGCTATGGGTTAATTAGTAAGACTTGTATCACTAAACCATTATTATCTGAAAAAAAAAAATCAAATAAAATTAGAATAAAAATATTTAGATTTCGGCATTAAATAACACATCCAGGTTGATAATACCAGTAAATAAAATCAACAAAACCAAAAATAGGACAAATTTTGAAAAACATAATAGTCGATCCCACAAAATATTTAATATATAAAAAAAACCCTACTAAACTGAGTTTCTTTTTTCCCGGTTTTCAGATAAGATGTTTAGCCATCTTGACATCATTTGTCGTAAGAATCACTTTCAAAACTTCTTTATAATTTAATGAGTTGCCATCGTGATTTAGCAGTTAGTGACAATTATAAAAATTCTATATTGCCAACTTGTAGGATTGAAATCTTTTTCAGAAAATACTTATTCAAAAATTAATATTCCATCCTGATATATGAATTAAATGTTAAACTCTGTGCCTGTTAAATGTTATACTTTGTTTCAACCACTGGGATGACCTGACAATATCTTCCTTCTGTATATTTTGAGGTGGATATATTTGTAACTTTGTGTATACATTTCGGATTGATGGCTAAATAACATCCGATCAATGTCCGTTTTTAACATTGTCTCCATTATTAAGCTAACGATTGACTATATTTGCTTGATGTTAAGCCATGGGCTAAACGACAGCTATTTTTAAAGAGCGCCATATTTGGTGGATTGATCATTTCTAGTTCATTCTTGAAAAGAGAAATAAATAAAAAAAAAAAGAACTAATGAAAGATCTTCATAAAACATTCACATCTCTTTGACCCCCTATAAACAAAAATAATAAGATAAAAATAAAGAAAAAAATAGATTTCTAGCTAAAGATTTGTTTTCCAAATAAAAGATGTGTGGGAATTCTTTTAACTTGTGAAATAGTAATAAAACTATTTCCGGTTTAAAATATCCTTGAAATATCTTGACTTTTGCATCAAAAGCTAATCTTTGATTAAAGCTTAAAGAAGTCGATCTATAAGCCCCTGTGGTGAAGAGATATAAGAGATTTTCTGTTTGTCTATTTCGCCTTTTCTTTTATAGTTCTCTTTAAAGTCAGAGGTAGGGGATTACGGTCACATCACTTTGAAACACCGTTTCCCGTACGATCACAGAAGTTAAGGGACGTCGAGCTTGGTCAGTAGCTAGATGGGAACCGTTTGGGAATATCAGGTGGTATAATGGCTTGGAATTGTTAATAGGAGAACCAAGTTTCAATTCCAGTCGTTATTAATTCACAACTTCCCTACAGCTATGGGTTAATTATTAAGACTAAACCATTATTTCTGAAAAAATAAAATAAAAATTTATTTAAAAGATATTTAGATTTCGCTATTAAATAACCATGTACGTCGATATGGCGCTAAACAAAGATAACCAACCAACCAAATCAAAGGTAGATTTGAAGCCATATTTAATATTTACTTAGGTGCCTTCATGAGATCACTAAAAAATAGCCAATTATTTTTATTTTTGCAAGATTTTCCAAATTAATGTCTGTCATACAAAAAAAAAATAATAAATAAATAAAGTGCTAAAAATTGTATATATTATTTTACTAGTTCCGGTGATACAAAGAGAAACAAGGTTTTTTTTTAAATCAAAATTTAGAATGTTGTAAAAAAAAAAAAGGAAATTAAAAAAAAAAATAATTAAAAATACCTTTGTCTTTCCTCTTAATAAACATTTAGACGATAAAATTTTGTTTTAGTCAAGTTTGGGGTCTTTTTCATCATGCTATGCTCTTTTTATTAGCAATCTCATGAAAGAACCTGTATTTACTAAATGTATTTTTTTTTGCTCGTAATGTCTTTTAAGGAAATATATTTTTAATTATACATCTTTCTTCGTATAAAAGAAACAAAAAAAGCCTTTTTTTTTTTTTCAACAATTTTGCCATTCCAAAGACTGATACGATAAAGTATACACCAATCGGTAAAAAAAGGTGTTCTACCCCCCAAGAGTTCGTGTCCGTGTCATACGCAATCTCGAAGACAGCCATTTGAACGCTTTAAAACAATTAAAACTCTAAAGAAGCCGAAGTCCTGTACATAAGCAGGTTTATTAATAACCAAAAGTAGAAAAAGAAATAAATACATATAAATAAGACTAGTTAGTCTGAAAATGCAAACAAAGGTAACGAGAAATATAGCAAAAGCAGCGGAGTCTTGAACACTAAACTAAGACCATTTGTTTAGATAGGTAAAGAAAGATGGCAAATACTTCGTTCACACGAATATTTATAAAGTTTGTTATAAGAATACATTCCAATGTTGCGAAGAGTTCGCGTAAAAGAAAGTTAGAAGGTGGTTGCATTTTGCAACATTGCTTGTAGATAGTGCATACGTGTCGAAAGGATTTTACATGTAGGGATACAAACGTAAAAGAAACATGAAATATTCAAATAATAACGTGATAATAAATCAGGTAAATATATGGAGAAATGGTAAAAAGAAAAGTTACAAATCGCTAATTGTAACATTGAGGGTAAGATTAGAATGATGAAACTACTGACCACATACTTGGTAATGACTTTATTATGTGGGGTTCCAGTGAAGGGCGAACCGGAAGTGATCAAAACAGTGACAATCTAGACGGTAACTAAAATAAAAAAGAGACAAAGAGAAAGTCAAGCAATACAGTTTTTGTAATGTGGTAACAGAACAAAAGCTTTTATTTTAAATGCCAAATTATGATTGCTTTTTCTATATTAATTTTATATTTTGTTCAATATTTTGAATAAAAAAAAACTTCTAACAAGATGTTATAGCATAACAATGAGTTTTAAAATACCATTTCGCAGGAGTTTTAGAAATTCTTCCTCTTATTTTGGTTTGACGTAAAACAGACGAAAGCTGAAACCTTAGTTGAATTGATGAATTAATTTTAAAACATTCCTAACTCCATCCTGCCCGTCGGAAGTTTATGAATAAAGAGATCTCAATATCGCATTGTGGGTATGGAAAATGTATAATTTACTTTTTCAAAGTTAAGACAACACTTCTCGCTTCGAAAGACTGTCTTCTTATTGCCATCTTGCCTTATTCTGGACAAATATGATCTCGATCAATAAAAAAAATCGTACTTATTGTAGATTGCAAATGGCTGTCAGCATTACGAGACTGTGAAACTATAGTTAATGGTGCAATATTGATTTTTTTTCACATCAATATTGCTTTTTTCACCACTGCATATTATAACAGATCGATATTAACTCATTGATGCCTAGAGAAAAATATGGTATTAATAAAATAAAAATTCTATATGATTTGTTAAATAAAATCCGATAGAAATTAAGGAACATTGGTCATTCGTTGATTGTAGGTGGGTTAACAAAAACTTTAGAATTATAACTATCGTATATACTCGTGTATAGTGCGAGCTTTTAGGATCAGTTTTTAGGGGGTCGCATTATACACAGGTAATTATTTTGAAGAGATTAAAAATCATATATTCTGGGTGACCGGTTGCACTATACACAGTTAATTTTTTTTGGAGGAGGTTAAAATTCATGCAAACAAAAAAAAATAAATTCAAGGGTTGCACTATACTTGAAGTTGGTTTATAAACGGTAGTAATACATAGAGATCTCTTCTAGTAGTTGGCATACCGGAAGACTGTCTTTCGAAATGAAAATTATACATGTGTGCTGATTCTGATTTATTCCTTGAATAACGTTCTTATGTTTAAGTGTATATATATATATATATATATATATATATAGATAGAGAGAGAGAGAGAGAGAAATGTTCTTTATGAAATCTAGATACATCTAGTATGTCCAGATATTAATAATATAATATATTAATCTAGATATATGCAATATGACCAGATATTAATAATATATCATTTTAATCTAGATAGATATGCAATATGCTTAGATATTTTTCCTATAGGATATTAAATTCATAGATGTACACAAGTAGTGTGCAAGTTTTTATGATCAGTTTTTTACGCAAAAGATAGTTGGTCACATTATACACAGGTAATTATTTCGAAGAACTTAAATATCATGCATTTTCGGTGACCAGTTGCACTATACATAGGTAAATATTTTCCGAATGTGTTAAAATTTAATTAACTTCACTTAGTCTGGCCCAAGAATAAATAAGAGGTGAATGAGTTGGGAGGGACTGATGCAAGACAATTTTTTCAAGTTGGAAGAAACTGAGTATTTTGAAAATCAGCATTTAGAAACTGATTTTCACTTCTTTTCGAACATAGACATCTGGCAACATTAAATATTAAACATTAAAAATATATACCCATCTTTTCTGAATGTGTTAAAATTCATGAAAAAAATGTAGGTATCGCACTGTACATAAAGTCGGTTTTTATTCGAGTATATATAGTATTTTCAGAAACATTTTAAGTTAATTAGACCGTGTTTACATATAAACCATCGCTTGTTTCTAATTAATACTTTCTTGATTGGTATGGTGGAAATAGTTGCCATCAAAAATGTTGATCGAGCAATTTGTCAAGCAGATGTAGAGAAAAATACATGAATGTTCTTTCTTTTTTTGATTCTAGATGTTTACCATTGAGCTTTGTGGCTGCTGCTGCTTTTCCGAGATAAGGCAAAACTTTTATTATTCGAGTTCCGTATTGATGAGACGGAATTTCATTTCAGTATCTCCTTCCGTAATAATCTATTCTATTTATATTAACTACGATTTGTCTTGGAGACTACGATTATTGTCTGACAAGAATGTTTCAAACATGAGCTGTCTACTTTGAAAATCAATGTCCGAAATTTTGGTTTTTACCTGGGCTTGAACGTCGACACCAGTTTTGATGGTTACAGCAATACGTGTCTCTTGCACATAACACATGATATAATGTATAAGATTTATTAACACGGCATTCTTGTGCGTCATGTTGACTGACACCCATGAGCACCGTGGAATGGACGCACATATTAAAATCAACCATGACACAATGTGGAGTACAAATGAAAAACAAATGCTAATACCCAGGTATATTTACCACGCCTTCCCACTAAAGCAGGATGGGACACAAAGTTGTTTTTATTTGGGGAGCGCTATTCACATACATATGCATATAGGCCAAGGACAAAAATGTTTGTCCAATCCCCGAGACCTCTGTCACGCTGGCATTACATCAACCTTATATCAGGGCTGGAATCTCCGGGAACGGGCGTCTTCTCCCATCTAAAATGAGGAGAAATGTTTACTCCACTTCCGGCCAAGTTTTCTTATTAAAAAAAATGCGACCTCCGACAGGAGATACTGTCGTTATATCCGACGTGTTTTAGAATGACTCGGCCACCACAAAAGGCGTCGCCGATCGAGCAAGGCTGAATAGTACATTTAAGCGCAATTCCCCTTGTCAACAGATTCCCGAAAGTTCATATCTGCTTAGTTATGTATCCAAACATAAACAAAGCAATTTCTAAAGAAGTAATGGAAGTGGCCAAGTCGCTCTTAAGTATGTCGGATCTAACGACGGTTTCTCCTGCAAAGGGGGACGGAGTTGCATATATTTTCTATTCAGTCCAGTAGACGAAAATGAATATATTGTTTAAAATAAATGAAGCGTTTGCTCTAATATGGGTATCCACTAAACATAACATTTAAAGTGATAAATATATATATATATGTAATGAGTGATAAAAGGACACCAAAAATCCTCATTGTACTGTCAACTACATGACTGTTTTCAGGGAATAAGAAGACCACTGTTGATGTACAAAGATAAGCTTAAGGAAATCCTAAATTCTGTTGGCATCTGTAGACATTTGAGGAAGTGCTTTCTGATTCTGTCGAGCGGAGGAGTATGTGTAGAAAAGGCATTATTTCTGAGAGATCACGCGTTGAACATCAACGTATTACGAGGCAGATTCACCAAAGACCGCGCTAACATTTGTGCAGCGTTCACGGTGTTTCTGTTCTTTGTTTTGTATTTGGAATGGCCGCTTGGTTACCAAGTGGTTAGAATTTTCACTTTCCGACCATGAGACTCGAAGTTCGAAATTGATTTCGCTTTGTTTAGGAGGTGGCTTCGTTCTGATACTGACATAGGAGACGATTCCAGCGTGCGACACATTTGGAAATTGAACGAAATTCATTCTACGGGTTAATCTAAGCTCTGTAAGTGTAATTAGGTAGACGGAATTGTAGAAATCAGTGATCGACACCAAGCCTCTGAACATACT